TAAAGGATGCCTAATCTAAGGTAACTACTTGTAACAAAATGTCAGAGTGGCTCACCTTCTATAGTGTTTGCCCTGCAGTCAGCTCAGGTAGTAATACTATGGCAAGGAGATAGAATCCTCCAAAGAAAGTGCTGTTTTAGTTGGGGAAACATCTGTTTGTAGTGCTGCAACCAGGTTGTAGCAGATGATTCAGCACTCCAGCAATTAATAGGTCTTTGCACATGGAAGTGCACAGAAAGACCACAGTGCAATTCTCACCTCCTCTATCAGTTCTAATTCAAGAAGCTGTGCTATCTTCTGTTATTGAATTTAGCTGTGTTTTGTGGGTGTGAAGAAAGTTTTGTTAGAAAATGCTATAATTTGCAATTTTTAATTCTTTTACCACTCCTATTGGAGGCTGAGAAGGATGACAGTTAGTACCTTGCATATGAAGCAAATGCAGTGATTATGGGGCAGGCTCACATACTGCTGGTGAGCAAATTCTGTAAAATGTGTCTTATTTGGACATCCTTAGCTCAGAAATGAAGAATATTGAGTGCATAAGGAATATTGTCATCTTAAATGCTATCTGCAGTCTTAAATGCTATTTGCAGTGTTGAGACTAACAATGTGGCTACATGAATTAAAATCAGGGTTCTAGTATACATGTGAATGACCTCCTCAATCTGCCATGTATCTAGATAATGCTAGTCCAAAGATGTTTAAGGCTCATCTCAATTCTGTGCAGGTGCCTAATTTCGCTTACTGGCAGGATTCTAAAATGCAATACAAGATGATGAAGTCAAATGAGTACATAGCTGCTTAATATTTGATAGTGCTACCTGCCTAATCCTAGATTAAATTTAAATTGCTCCATGCAGATTTCGATTAGCAGCCTCTGGCTGGCATGTTACACACTGTGGTTCAAGCCTATTCTTATTTTTAGAACAATGAAGTAAATTAAAGTGGTATTAAGTGCTTAGTGAACATTTGAACAGGAGAGGGTGCTAAAGACTTGTTTGTCGAGTTCCTGTGATTTGTCCACTTGATAAGATGCAGAATGAAATATATGAAATTGGAGGACCAGAAGGGCCTTGCAGTGGAGTCAGTTCAAAGGTTTAATTAGATCAGTATCTTTCATACTTGTGGACATGAGAATTAGCCAAATTATTAAGTTGCTGAAGCAGAGAAGCTTCTGTAATGGATGGGTTGAACCAATTCACACCAGTATTTCATGATCACCAGAGGACAGGGACTATCCTTACAACTAGTCAGTCTGAAGTTGGGATCTGTTCCCAAACATATACAGTATTCAGTCTGGTTGTGTGTGTGTTTCCTGCCCCTTATCCTAAATAATTTATGCTAAGTCTTAGTATATATTTTATTAAGGGTATGCATTTGCCTGATAAATCCCAAAATGAAGCAGGATATTTCAAAGAAAATTGGAACATGCCCAAAATAGGAGTGCTCTTTGAGGGGACTCAAATCAAGTAAGAGTCTTTCTGAAGATATGAACCAACACAGTGTATCTACAAACAGCAAGAAGACTATTCCTGAAGCTATCTGTACAAGGAAATTGCTAGGGAAGGAGAGGAGGATATGTATTTTTCTGCCTGACAGCTCTGCCTTCCAGCCAGGGGTAACTTGATGAGGAGTCTTTCATCTTCCATTGCTTCTAATCACAGTGCTTTTGGGAGGAAGGTAGAAGAATCAGCTTATCAGTTGTTGTTAATTAAGGAGGTGACATCTAGCCTCAGATGTATGAACTGGAGCATTTTCAGCTTAATCATTAATGTTATCCTAAATAGTGGGTAGCGGGACCTGCTGTATCTATCTTGCGATATACTCTTGGGACCTTCTTCAGTGCCTTTAATATTTCTAGCTTGTAACTCTCTTCTTGCCTCCCTTTATTGTGCTCTAGAAATAGTGGTTCACACCCTGTAGGTCAACATATATATTTTGACAGCAACTTCCAGAATATTTTATCGGAGTCTTTGATGATTTCTGAAGCATCTGGCAAATGATGTATTGGGAACAATTTATAAAACAAAAACAAAACAAAATAGCATCAGAAGTGGACCTACTAATCAAACTATAATTAAAAGTAGGGAGATCATTACTCATATTGTCCTGATGAAAATTTCCCGTCTCAGTCCTTTCGTTAAGTTCTAATAAATACAGACATTCTGAGATAGCGCAAAGATGCCCTGCCCTTGTATAGCAGATGGCATTTTTAAGAAGACAAATATAACTGCCCTAAATTGCCCTGCAAAGCAATATGTATGCAGGCATAAGAATTTGATATAAATCTATGGAGTGTTCCAAAGGTTAGAGATCCAATCGTCTTATAGACTTCCATGCATTTAACTTACTCCACTTGTCTTCATGTAAAGAGCCTTGAAATCTGTTTCGGCATAGCTGTGTTGTCACAGAGGATGATGGTAGCAGTTTGATAAGCACATTCTACAATAACTATAACTGCCCAAGGCTGAGGATGCTCTGTAGGCTGCTGTCTTCTAATCCTGCATGCCACTGTTGTAAATTTAAAGCTGCTGAAGTTCTTGGACTTTCACAATAATGCCACATACTATACTGAAAGAGGTGAAATAGAATGTGAAGTTGGAGAATTTCTCCTTGCATTCGTGACTCTTGTTTTATGGCCATTAGAATGTACAGTATCCAGGATTGTGTTGTCTTCTCTTAAATTCATTGTAGCTTTCAGTTTCTTTAAAAATGGCTGCACTGTTAAAAAAACAAAGGGGGGGAACAGGAGGTAGAATTAGGATGAAACTGAGTTAAATGGCAGTAGTGTTGGAATGTGGATCACATAGATGTAAATTGCTCTAATTCTTGTATTTCATTACAGTGCTTGTAAAGCTATTTTTAGGGCTTGACTACACATCACAATACTTCTGTTTTTGTGTCAGGTTTGGCATGCTTTAAAGCGAATTAAACACCTCTAATTACATGACATACAGGAAGCGGGTTGTTTGAAACACCCATATGGGGGTTGTTTATTTTAAATCAATTCTGGGCACACTTTTTAAAAACTCATTTTGGCATATGTGATTGCCTCTGCCAGAATAAATAGTGTCTGGGATTTGCTGAGTTTGAGTACCTACAGTTGAAAGTTTTCCTTTTCCCCTCTAACTATTTTTGTTTTAGCGCTGCATTGATCTAGCACTATGCCACTACAAAACTATATATACTTTCTTAAAGGATAGAGGAAACAGCTGTTAGAGTAGTTGTGGCCCTGTATCGTAGGCTATAAACACTGGCTTTGCTGAATAAAAGCTGCTGGATCCAACATCAACTGTTTCAAGGCAGGCAAGCTCTACCTTGAGAAAGGCACAAGGTACTGTTGAGATGAAGAATTAAGTTCCTAGTACAGAAGGAAAACCAGGACCTGGAGCACTGAAGTGGCAATATACCACACAGCTTACAACCAGACTAAAGGTTCTTCCATGAGTTCATACACGATTGGCACAGAAACCACGTGATGTTAAATCAATTTCTAAAAACTGAACTAGCTTCAAATTTAATTTGACAGCATACATGCCCTTAGTTAGCAAAATGCAAGTATATCTCCATGCACTTCTTTTAGAAAGCAGAATAAATATAATCTGATCAGCACCATACTTTGGCCTGTTTAGCAGTCTTTGCTAGGCTTTTCCAGGATAGAATTCACTTGCATAAATGTGTCCTCACTTTTACATTTGTTATTTACTTCATTCGTTTTTACAGATAGCATTGGAGAAGGGCTAGTTGGCAGGACACAGATGATCAGTACAACGTTTTTAAAATGCTTCTTGATCCCTATGTGATGCATGGAAGTGTGACTAGATTTTTGTGGTGTTTGTACTTTTGTAACCTGCTTTGTAAATGCAATGTGTCTTGAACATGTGGTATCGCACAACACAACCAACAGCCACTTTAAGGTTGCTGATCCATTTCTTGGCACAATTCAAAATGCTGATTTTAACCTATGAACCCCTAAACTTTGGCTTGGGTCCAAGCCATCTAAAAGACTGCATATCCCTCTGTGATTCTGCCCGGGCATTAAAATAATCTAGCAAAGTCTTTCTCTCAATCCTACCACCCTCATAGGCATGCTTGGTAAGTTAATGGGAGATGGCCTCCTCTGTCACTGCTCTGAGAGTCTGGAATTTCTTCCCATGGGAAGCCAGGCTGGCCCCCTCTTTGCTGTCCTTCTATAAATAGGCAAGATTTTTTTCTTGAAGCAGGCTCCCCTTAGTGACTGGCTGTCTGAGAGCGGGGGTTGAATAGATTGTTGTGCTCTGTTGCTTTTATATGTGTTCTTAGTACAGTATTGATTTTAATTGCCGTTTTTCAAATAATACTTAATTCTTTTTAAATGTTTGTATACTTACTGTTTTTAACTTTAAATATTTCATTTTAACGATATAAGCCACCTTGGGTCCTTTTAAGGAGAAAAGTGGGGATGGCTGGATAGATGGATGGATGGGGAGAGAGAGAGTATGTATTGCATGTAAATGGCATTGTATCCTGACATCTTGTTTTCACTAAGTTACTTTGTGATGGAAGAAGTGTAGTTAAGGAACAACTAGAGTGAACAGTTAATTATTTGGCCAGCCACTACTCCATGAAATTAGCATGTTGTCTATAGGCATGTTTTCTTTTACTGGCTTCTAGATGCTTGTTAATGAAGTTGTCTTCTTGCTTGTGTCTTTTTTCTGTCCCCTTTCCAATATGTCTTCTTGGTTTAAGGTGTCCCTTTGATTTACCACTGGTCCTTGGTTTGTTTCATAATGTTCTACATCTTGCTGCTTTGTTTCTGTTTTCAGTGGAAGAACTATTCTGTGGAGCTGAAAAATGTACCTAGGTTTTTGTGCGATTCAAGGAAATGAAGTAACATAGGTTGTAACTGAACTGCAAAGTAGTATTTCTTGTGAATTGCAGTGTTTATTTAATGAAATAGTTTTATTTTCCTTTATAATTTAGTGCAGATACAAAATATAATAGAAGTTGTTTGTTGGTAGGGATGAAGATGACATCAATGATGTGACTTCCATGGCTGGAGTCAACTTGAGTGAAGAGAATGCATGCATATTAAGAACAAATTCTGTGACAGTTGGCACAATTATCCGGTCTTGCCCTGAGGAACTTCTTCTTTCTTCAGATGCACTGCAGAAGAAGATCATAGAAATAGGTGAGAAAGCCAAGTTGCAAGAGTATTTCAGAAAAGAGAGAGGTTGTACTAGTTGTACGCTGTGACACCCCTTTTTTTCTCAGACATGCCATCATGACAAGCAGCACTTTTTTTGAGATAAAGCCATTTGGTTAACAGGGCAAATTAACTGTCGTTATACCACTCCTCAAAGTAAAACCATTTATACTCTTCATGCATGTGTTTGCATGCTCAAACAAGGCCCTGTTTATTTCTCCAATGAAAATCACTGATCCTGAAAAATTCCAAGAGTGGCAATTTATATTTAACCAAAAAATACATGGGAAGGGATAGGAAGAGGTGAAGACTGCAAAAATAGCCTTTAGGAATTCTAGATTATGTCTTACCTTGTGGAACAATGCAGTCGGACCACCTGTGGCTACAGAAGATACACACTAAGTGATAGTCAGGCATGGCATGCAAATTTTGAAATTATGTAACTAATGGAATTTGCCTGGACACACCTTAATTTAAAATTTAATCTGGTTAAATGAAATTGCTTTAGGAACTAGATTGGTCCCGAGACCCTCAAATTGTCCTCCTTTGCTGTGAGGAGGTCTCAGTTTTCATTTTGTTCACCAAATCTGTGCCTCAATCTGAGCAAGTGGTTGTCAGCTACTTTGCAGCACCAAACAGTGCTGCCTAAGCTTGGTATATTGTTGGCTGAGAACATACATACACATTGTATGTGAGACAGCTATTTCATGTTCTTCTATAGTTTTTCATGTTCTGTTTTTACAATAGAAACCATGAGCCCTTTTATTTTGGAGGTACATTTTATTCTTAGTAGTAAGAAAGATGTTTTTATTCATCAATATAGTTTGTATCCTTTAGTCATCACACCTGTAAGGTGTACAGAGACAGGAAAATGCCTTGGGTTTACATTTAAGTCATTTGCTAGTCTTACCACTGAATTGAAGATGTTCTCACTCTGCCTTACGGAACCTGCACTCAGAAGATGAAGGTCAGTTGTCAACTAGAGAAAACCTTCATTAGTATATGTGCAACTGAAGGGCATTGCAGAGGTGATGCTTAGTCTTAGTGCAAGGTTGAAGGCAGCTTTGCTTGAAGCAAATAAACGATAATGTTGCTGCTATGAAAATGCTAGAGGGAATAAATCAGGTGGTGGTGCAGAAAGGGCAAAAAAGCAGAGCTTATTCGGGCAAGTTGCTGTTATGGGGGTAGAGATGGGAAAACAGTGCTTTTAGGACCTTAATTGAGTTTGTTCTTTTCCATTGTATTCTGTTGGGAGTGTGGGTCAAGTTGCCATATGTTGTTGTTAGTTGGGATGGGGTATGAATGGGATGGCTCAGACTATGATGCCTGAAGTGTGTTGCAATGAATGTCTGTTCATTAACATGTCAGAATTTAACAAGCACCATGTCGAACAGGGCAAAATGTAATTCTCTATTTTTTAATTACTGAAATTAACAGAATATGGCACTAATTTCTATAGCTACAGCTTCTCTCCTTCTCCAAACCACAAGGTTTGATTTCTGTATTCTTATTAACTTTGTCCTATAAATGACCTTGCACGGAGAGTGATTCTAGAGGCTAAGTGAAACAATGTCTATTTTCTGAAGCTGTAGGCTAGGTTTTATTAATGTAATGTCTAAGATCTTTGAAGTTGTGACTTTACCAGGAAAATCACAATCTCCCAAACCTTTATTCATAATGGGTATGATTTCCAGGGGGAACAGAATATCTGCTGTGCTAATTATTTCAATTATCAGCTAGTACTAAAACACGTAATGGATTTTTTCTGCCTCCACAGGTAAAAGGCATGACATTACGGAAGTTAATTCTGATGTTCTGAACTTGATCTCCCATGCTACACAGGAGAGATTAAGAGGGCTTCTAGAGAAACTGACTGTAATTGCTCAGCACCGTATGATGGCCTATAAGGTAAAGAAATAATAATTGAGGTTCTTGGTCTCGAGAATAATGTATGCAATGATATTTTAAAGTAATAGTTAAATTCGGGATCATGCATCTTAAATCCATCTTAAAGAATGTTTACCTGTTAGACCATTAAGATCTTGGATCTTGGCTATACTGTTGTGCTAAACCCTGCCTGAATATAAGAACAAAATATATAGTAGTAACTTCAGCCATTATAGTCTTCTGTCCTGCCAGTGAATTCACATTACTTTGGTTTTTGTTTATATCTTTTAAGAGAGGACAGAGCAGAATAGAATAATAGAATAATGGAGTTGGAAGGGGCCTGTAAGGCCATTGAGTCCAACCTCCTGCTTAATGCAAGAATCCAAATCAATGTGGATCTGATAGATGGCTGTCCAATTTTCTCATGAATGCCTCCAGCATTGGCGTGCTCACTACCTCCCAAGATAATCCATAGTAACTGCTGACCTTCAGTTTCTGCGTTTGAAAGAGGCTTGGCTATGTAAGATCTGAACATGGCCTATGGCATGAGTTAAAATATGTAAATAGATTTTACTCTTAAAGCACACATGGTCATTTCAGTATTGTCCCAAACAGCAGGCAGCATTGTCTATTGCCTTTCTATGGCTCAGTATGGCTTCTAAAAATCTAATACTGTAGGAGGGAAGACTTGAGACATTTGAGATCTACTTTAAAAAAAACACACTGGAATCCCAAAGTCTATAGGCTGGAAACAGGCACAGAAAGGTAGGTCATAGTACCCTGTTTCCCCAAAAATAAGATCTAACCTGAAAATAAGCCCTAGTATGATTTTTCAGGATGCTCGTAATATAAGCCCTACTCCCAAAATAAGCCCTAGTTAAGTAAAACTCCACTCTACACCATTGTGTAGCATTGTGCAGCAACCAGAAGGTGACATGACATAAAATAAAACATACCATGAAAATAAGCCCTAATGGGTTTTTTTGAGCAAAAATTAATATAAAGTCCTGTCTTATTTTTGGGAAACATGGTAACTCCTGGGCTCCATGAGCTATATGTCGGATAAGCTGTGTACACAAATCTAAGTTACTACAGATGAGGGATTCACATACTTACATTTAAACCTGTAATATCTTGCTGAAAAACCCTGAGCTTGGAAGACTTTGGTATCTACTACAAACAAACAGATGTTCATCTGCCTACTTACCAATCCTCTTGTGCTGACATACAAAAAAGATAATGTTCAGAGGTGAATGGCCTCACATTAAGAAATTTCTGCAGACACTGTTGCATGCCAAGCCATGTGACTCCATATGTATGAGAAAATCTCTATGCAGATTTTTTAACTTCATGCAGTTTGCCTCCAACAGTTACACCATTTGCATAGCAGTACAATGGGATTTCCACCACAGGTAGAGAAGGAGTATAGGTTATAGTCTTTCTCCAGACAAGCTGGAAATGCCTTGACTGCCTTGAGGTAGTTGTAGTCTATGATCCTCCCCATCTGATGTTTGAAGTGTGGAGACTGCTTCCTACATGTAGTAAACATTTAATGGCATTTCAAACTTCATGTTTGGGGTGGGAGTTAAATATGAGGAGCTGTTCTTTTCAAAAAGTTGCAACTTAGTCAGATGTGGAAATGGCTCTTTCCTCATGTTTCACCTTCAAAACCTTGCTTTCAAAAAGTGACAAATAGAAGAACTTGCTTTCAAGGTAGGCAAGTAAGATTATAAAATAACAGGATGTGGTTTTATAGTGATTGCTTTACTGAAATTCTCATCCCCTTTGACCACTGGCCATACTGGCTTAGTCTGATGCAAGCTTAGTCTGAAGAAAGCATCTTGGAGGCCCATTGCTTTCCCTCCACTGCATAGAGGGGAAACAGAGCTAAGATTCATTAACTGTTTAGAAATAGTCTGAATGTGCAATCTGGGAGACATCCATATACCTTTTCAAAAACCCCTGGTATTCAGAACCAGAGGCAACAATGTGCTTTCCTGCCTGTTTCCTTCTTCTACTTCCTATCAGTTTACAAATCTGAGCTGCATTACTGGGTGAGTGGGCAAATTGGACAATGGATTTGTCAAGGGAGTGGGTCGAAGAAGCTTTTTCTTCCATGAAAAGTTGAAAGGTATATAAATTTAGGCTGTAGCTCAGCAACACAGGCTAAAATGATGGTTGAAAAAAAATCTGGAGTTTGCTTGAGAAAGTTATAAGCTAATTAAATGTGTTGGAATATCAGAATGTAATGCTTATTTGGCTAAATTGGTATCACTACTCATAAGCTTACACTTTGGGCCATGTACAGTATGCTTCCAATATAGCACATACTTATTTTTATTCCATTTACAAACATATTGGAGGTGTGGACAACTTTTCATACAAATGCATTACATGGAAAAGAAAGAGGCTTATCTCTTTCTCAACTTGATCAGGATTAGCATTGCATTTCATAGCACAATTGGAAACATCAGCTGCCTGTGCCTGAAATAAAAAGTGAAAAAGGAAAGCATACATGCACAGTGCAAATTAAGTATCACATGTAGTTATGCCCTCTGTGCAGTGGAAACAGAGACATTGTTAAGAGAGCAGGTTTTTTGCCCATCTGAATGAGGTGCACTGTATTCTGAGAAAACAACTCTCTTTAAAGGAATGGACTTGTGAGTAGGGTGGGGTATGCTCCATTGCAGATGGAAATAACACTTCTATGTTAATTCATGATGACCTGCTGTTGTCATCTCTGAGATGGAAATGTAAAAAGACCAGCTAAAATAGTTCAGAAATTTCAGCTGATTCAAAATAGGACATCAAGGCTATTGGCTAAGACATTGGTAATGTTTGAGTACCACTTGGCAACCTACATTTCCAAGTCTAGTTCTAAATACTGGTGCTTAGTTTGAAGCCTGAAAATCACCTCAGGCAGTTATTCCCTGGTGAGCCCTTAGATAAATGTCTGGGGCCCTCCTCTGAGTTTCCCAGTAAATGAAGTGCAGCAGGTGGCTGCCCAGAAAGTCCTTCCAGTGACAGCACTGTGGTAGTCAAATACCTTCCCCAGAGAGGTTCACCAGAAATACCTACTGTTTCTTTGGACACCAGGTGTATCTCTTCATAACGTAAGAGTAGTCAGAAATTTTGTTTGTATATAGCCATTCAGCTGTCACCAAAAAAAGAAGAAGAAGAAGAAGAAAAGAAAAAAGCAGACAAATATCAATCAAAATTTTATGCTGGCATCACCAAGACTGTATACAGCATTAAGTGTCAAAAGTTTTTGTATAATAAGAATGAGAAGAGACAAACTGGTGAGCTTTTGCAGTCACCATTTTATCTATGGCTTTGAACAAAACAGTATTTGGTGGTGTAAAAACTTTGCTCTTTGAGCAAGGAGTTGGCTGAAGCTTCATGACCTATAGATTTTGGAATGTTCATTTACCTGTATGATCTGTGTCATATTTGTGCATTTTTATTGCATTTTTTCATCAATTGTTACTGGTTTTATCTGTATCTTGCATTAGATTTTCCTGTCTTTATGGTCCTATTGTATCTGTTACGGTAGAAGCAGCACAAACAACATATTGTTTGGGACAACATATAAATACTGTAGAATAAATAGATATTACTGTAAAAAGAATAGATATGGATTTCAAAATGAAAATTTCAGAGGGCTTGATCTTGGGGCAAATTAATTGTAGCAGATGCAGTTTTGCTAAGGCAAGAATTTTGTTTCTATATTTATTAAGTAAATGCATCTTAGCCATTGATAACTGATAATCAAAGTTGTTTTCAGCCAAAGTATGCCTATACGCCTTGATCCACTATGTAGGTTGAACCCTGGCTGTGAATTTTCTTCTTCTTTTTAAGGGGAGTGATAAGTACACAATCTCTAGTGATACACGGGCTCAGCTTCGGTTTCTAGAGCAGCTGGATCACATAGAGAAGCAGAGGAAAGATGAAGAAGAAAGAGAGATGTTACTCCGAGCAGCCAAGGTGAGAGAATTTCAAAGTGTTGTGTTGTCAAAAGATCTACAGTAGTTGAATAGTCTTAAAGCTGGTTGCTGATATAGGTGGAATAAATGCTATGATAATACTGTAGTCTCTGCCAAGTTAATTTGGACTTATGGCACCTATCTGTGGTATAAAGTACAGTGGTGCCTCGCATTACGATGTTAATTCGTTCCAGCGAAATCGCTTTAGAACGAAAACGTCGTAAAGCGAAAATAAAAAAGCTATTGAAATGCATTAAAACCTGGTTAATGTGTTCCAATCGGCTAAGAACTCACCGTCCAGTGAAGATCCTCCATAGTGTCGGCCACTTTCAGGTGCCTGTGCAGTGAAAAATGGCTCCTAAACACAGCGGGGAGCCATTTTGAGCACCCGGTGGCCATTTTGAAAACCCGACGATCAGCTGTTTTGATCGTCGGGAAGCAAAAATCGGTTCCCAAAACAGGGAACTGATCATCACGCAGTGAAATTCCCCCATTCAAAACGTCGTTTTGTGATCACTTTTGTGATTGCAAAAACCTTGTCGTAATGCGGATTCGTCGTTAAACGGAGCGCCTGTCTTGCGAGGTACCACTGTACTCAGTAGCAGATCCTCCAGTAGTAGTTTAGCAGATGCTGTTATGGCACTATGCAGCTTGTCCAAGGCCACACAGGTGGCAAGCCGGATAATCACATCAGTTACATATTCTCTGAGTAAACTTGGCTTGCAAATCTCCTAGGAAGTATAGTGGGGCTTCAAACTCCCAGCCCCTGGCTCTGGAGCCAGGTGCTTCAACTTAGCTGCGCCTATCTGGTCAATATGACCACTCTAGGCGGCTTCCAGGCATGTAAAATACTTTAACATATATATATAATGAATAAAAAGTAAAAAATCAATAATATACTATAAACAATAAACAACAGACAACAATAAACATATTCTTCAAGATGGCAATATAAAAATAGATTAAAGAAAGAAAAATTAAGTGTTATCTGGAGGGAAAGCCTGCTTAAACATCCAAATTTTTAGATGGGTCTTTAAAATGCCCAGTGACGGGGCCTCGCGAATCTCTGGAGGAAGGTTGTTGTATTTGCACATTTACAGTATTAGTTTTCTTAAAACCTGGGTCTCAGAGGAAAGGATATGCTGGGACCTTTCCCTTAGCCCTGGAACCTGTAGATCCTGAACCTCAGTGAAAGTGATGGAACTCTGTCAAGATTTTCCTTAGCAACTGTCTTCTTAAAAGGAAGGAGAAACCCAGGGAAGAAGTCCATGTTGACCCTAGAACCATTGTCCATCCTTAAAATTCCTCTTTTTTCATGTGCAGTCAAAATGTAGATTGGATAGTGTGGCTAGTGAGGTTTAGTCCACAAAAGCTCTTAATGACTCTTTTAATGTTGTTTGTTTGTTTGTTTATTTATTTATTATTTGAGTTCTACCCCGCCCCTCTAGACAGAGTCTACTCGGGGCGGCTTACAAACAGTTATAAAACATCGTAAAATATAATCATATAAAATCATCATTATAACTATCAAAATATATCGTAAAAGTTTAAAACTTCTGTTCAGTTTAAAACATCATTGTTCAGTTTTAAACATTTAAGCTAGTTTACGCTAACAATGTACACCACACATAATGACTTATTTTGTTAGTGTGTGTGTTGTCCATAAGCCTCTTGGTACTTTTTGGGTAGCACCTCTTCATGATTGATATGGATAGGAAGGATAATACAAAGAAATAATAAAATTGAGGTTAAAAAGAAATGTGAAAAGGTGGAAGTTGTTCTATCAACAGGATGTCTCGCTGTCATCCAATCCAATAAGACAGCAGGAAGAATAGGTCTGCAAGTATACTGTAAATGCTTGATCCTGGTTTGGTGCAAATATAATTCTGGCTGCCCATTTACAGACTACTAGAAGAGGGTCTTAACTGGTGGCTGATATATTTGATTTGCAAGCCGTGGTTGGCAAGGATCAAACTTCAACCTCTGTGGTAGAACATTGTCTTGAATTTCTTTAAACAGGTGCAGAATATTTAACTCTGCAGGAGTATTGGTCTTCACCTCCCAGAAGCCCTAGCCAGCATAGCCAATGGAAAGGGGCTGTGGGAGTTACAGCCTAAAATATCTAAAAGGCCAAAGTTGTTCAATGGGAATCTTGGTTTTCCATTTCTGATCATTCAGCCATAACAGCATCTTACCATAACACTTAGAAAATAGTTGAATATTAAAGATTTGAAATATTATTTCAAAATCTACCAGATGTTTTGACATCTGGGAATGTGAAAAATCCAATTGCTGCTGTACTCAAATGGAAAAAATAGGGTTGGATCTTTCTCTTCTTCTTCGATGCTTATTCCCTCTCTGCTCCCCCCCACACCACCACCACACACAATGTCTGCTGCTGACATGAACATCATCACGCCTAGGCTGGACCTGACTGACAATGTTAGCATCATTTTTAGTTCAAGTTTCCTCTGGGCTAGAGTGGAGGCAGCAGTCCCTGATGAAGAGATGGTTGTGGGGTGTGGGGAGTGTGCCATTCTGGCTTGAGGCATGAAGCCCCTGCAGCTAAGGTTTCCAATCAGAAGATGGGGGGTGGTGGTGGCAGGGAAGGTAACTTATTAAATATTTAAAGATATTGTGTGTTTGGGTGCCATCTAATTCCTATTAAACTTCCTTTCTCTCCCCCTCCCCTCCTTTTTTTTTCCCCGGATAGAGCCGTTCCAATAAAGAAGATCCGGAACAGCTGCGATTAAAGCAGAAAGCAAAAGAGGTAGGACTTTCAAGTTACCATGCTTGCCTTTGTATTCTGAGGGAAGCTTGGCGTTCTCTCCTGGCAATTAGGTCAGGGTTTATTTTGCTGTTGCATACCATTTGCCGAGGCCTTAGGGAAGGACAGGAACTGCTACAGGCAAGGGCAGCACTTCAAATGAGGTCAATGAATTATGGGCTCTTAACATTTTATTTTCATAGTTTACAAAGAACTATTTCTAGACAGGCCTAAACTATAGCAGTGTGTTTGGTAGGAATATAATGTGGGATTAGGAAAAAAAAAAAGAGACACTTTGAGATTTAGCATCTGGGACCGTACAATAGGCTACATTTTTCCAGGGTAATTGTTCGTTTTGTAAATCTGATACTGCTTATAATTCTTTGGCTGGGAGGCGGTACTGGGATTTAGTTTTAAATGGAAAACGCCTCTGGCTTTTAATTTTCTGGGCCCAGCAGTTTTCTGTTCTGGAATGGAGCCCTTGTTTCACACAGTTCATGTTTAGCTGCAGGGGTTTTAGTTTATAGCTTAGACTGGTTAAGCTTTTACTCCCAGAGGCCTCTGCATAGCAACTGCAGAAATCAACAAATAAGTTCATTTATGTCTGCTGCAGCCTCCTCTCAGTAGCTGACTTTTTACATTTCCCAATATCCATTTCCTGACTTTTCTAGCCGGAGAGAAAAAAGCTCCACTAATTGGAGCTTATTTTAATTGAGCCTTAATATTGGATCTCACTGGAGTTGCCCCCAGAGCTACTAGGAACAGAATTAAATGAAAATACCTAAGGTTGAAGAATGTGAGTGAGATTTTTTTTTACTTGACCTACAGATTCTTTTCCCTGCTGAATAAATCAAGCCTGTTCACATTTCTGATTAAGGATCTGACAGCAGACAATAATAAAGACAATTGAGGTGTGAGATGTGTGATACAGAGCTGAAGAAATTGGTTTCTATAGTTACTTGACTGATTTCATGCCATTTTAAAGGATCTTGTGGTAAATGAGTGATTTTTTTTCCTGAGCAACCTTTTTCTTAACTGTGCCTCTTGAACTATGAAATTTGTTGTTGCTTAACATTGCTACGCTTGGCTTCTAGGTGCCAATGGCAGCAGCAGTAGGTTATTTATGAATGCTTTAAAGGCCCTTATTGTTTGGATTAATGTAGGAGGTGAGGCAAAACAAATGGCAATCCAGTAAAATGGTCTCAAAATCAATGCACCAGACTTTGACCAAAGTAAAGAAATCTCCACAGAACAGAAATGGAGAACTTGTTTCTCTGACAGATGGCTTTTTGATGTGCCATTGAGCTTTATAAACAATTGAACTTAGGGAAATGTCACTTAGTTTCTGTTCCTTTTCAGTAGTTCATATCATTGAGCAAGCCTGTGCTTTTCCAAAGGTGTTTAGAGTGTTGAAGTGATATGGGTAGACACACAGAGAGGCACATACCCTGACTCACATATGTATATATCTGTGAGTGTGTGTCATACTGCCATTACTGTGCATGGTGCGTTCAACTACAAAAGTACAGGGTCTTGCCCTGAGGAGGTTGCCTTTTAGAATTTGACATGGGAAAGGGGAACAAAGGCAACAATGGTGGAAACAATATATATTTTATGTTAGCTGGGATGCATTAGATTATGGGTAATTAATTTGGAGCCTTTCAGATGTTTTGGGCTATAGCTCACATTATCCCTGACCACTGGTCATGCTGTCTGAGGCTTACATTTGCCCAAAATATCTGCCCATTCTTGGGTTTCATGTGCCTGCTTTAGGCCATGAGGTCATCTGGGATTGACCAATACAAAAGCAGAACATTAATAGGTTGTACCAGTACAAATAAGTAGTAACAGCTTGTGGAAGTGAGTTTTAGTAATCAATAAAGAGAGGAAAGAGTTTGTCCTATTTAGCCTGACAATAAGCTGTATGCATACATGTTCTCTTCATCTAGAATGAGACACTGCAGTAACACCCTCTAGATTACATCAGTAGCTTCAGTCCATGGAGATATTAATTGAGCTGAAAGGTCCATCTCATTTATATTCAGCAAGCATATTCAGACTAAGGAGTCCAAACCAAGGAGAAGCTGCTCCCAATATTCTAGGGCAACCTCATGTGCTATCAAATTATTAATTGACTAAATAGTTGATTGCATTGGTTAAAAATAATATTAATATTATTGTGTGAGATTAATATTAGTTCTGGTAAAAGACATTTTTAGGAGACTTGTGAGGATGAAGGATTTCTACTTTCCTCCCACTGACTAGATAAGCTTTGCATTTAGACATCAGTCAGCCTTTATAGATACAGGCTATGGTTCAAGATGTAACCATTCCCATTTTAAGCCAGCATGAAAGGAGGTGACAACTGGTATAATAGCCCCCAGACTTCTAGTCAGAAAGGCACCTCTGGCTGGACTACTTGGGAACAGACTCCAACACTGAAATTTGACTTTTTGAGGAAATGGAAGATTTCCTAGAAAGTTCAACACCTACGTTTGCCTTCAAAAGATGAAACTTTTCAGATGGAGGGATTTGTTAAAAAGGAAGTTGAAAGGGCAAAATAGACATGTCAGATCTCTTTAGGGACCCTGGAAATCTTCAATATTTTATTATATTTATACTCTTAACTGCTTTGAGTATATCCATTTGGAAAAATCAGTGAGATATATATTCTCCAATAAATATGTAAAATTCCTTCCCTCAGGCGGTACAAGCTGCATACTAGTTCTTATCCATAGATTTCCTAGCACTCCTGTTTTTGAGGGTTCTTTGAAATTGAACAGTCCACATGTGGGAGCACAAGGAAAAGCATGGAATGCTGGAATGCTGACTGATCTTGCTTCCCATGTGCAGAGCATGGCTTGCAAAGGATACTAAGGCAGGGTCAGAACTGAAGCACTTCTCAGGAAGAGCCTCTAAGCTACTACCATCTGGATCCAGGCTGTCAGCTTCTGGTGCAAAGTCTATTGCTTTGAGTTAAGACTTCCATTAAGTCAAGCCATATTTAAAAGGTAATAAATTAAAGAGCTCAAAGCTAGTGCGTGGTTACTACAATTTCTGGAATTTCTTTGGCTTCAACTTGGGGCAACAGCAAATGTCCCTTTGAGCAAGCTAGTTAAGGCCTTCTGTAATCAGTATACTCACAAGAAGTATAACAGAGCACTAAACAAGAAAAGGAAGAAACAAAAAGTTTGCTCTAAAAATCACAGGGAGTGTTGTTAATTCCTTTTATCCAAAGTAATCCAGTTTTTTTCCAGTAAACCTCTTAATGGAGCTGCCCCCTTGTCAGATACAAGGACTTGGATTGCTGAGGACAACACCTTTTTTACTCCCCCCCCCAATCCTTTTTTTCCTCTTTCTCTCTTTGGTAGTGGTTGGGTGGAGTCCTGTCTTTAAGGTGCCAATCTACCCAGTCTTTGAGGGATTAATACAATTGTCTTTAGACCTATAATTGGCACCAATCTGTAGGCTGCAGTTGTACTGTATAGTTGGTGCCCTCTTCCTGCTATACCTGTTAGCACCAGATCCTAGTACCAGTACCTACTTCTAAATTTTCTTGAATGTCTGATGACTACCATGCATGCAGCATTCGTATATGTTTTGTTCTGTATACCTGGTATCTCAGTGCCACTATTACACACTTCTGCTTTCCAAACTGATCCTGTGGGTTCTCTGTTCATGCTTCAATCCATAGAAGCACAGATTGGAAAAAGAAACAGATATCTTCTATTGTCAATATTGCATTTTCTTTAGAATACAGTGGTGCCTCGCTTAGCGAATGCTTCGTTTAACGATGACCCAGTCTTTGAGGGATTAATACAATTGTCTTTAGACCTATAATTGGCACCAATCTGTAGGCTGCAGTTGTACTGTATAGTTGGTGCCCTCTTCCTGCTATACCTGTTAGCACCAGATCCTAGTACCAGTACCTACTTCTAAATTTTCTTGAATGTCTGATGACTACCATGCATGCAGCATTCGTATATGTTTTGTTCTGTATACCTGGTATCTCAGTGCCACTATTACACACTTCTGCTTTCCAAACTGATCCTGTGGGTTCTCTGTTCATGCTTCAATCCATAGAAGCACAGATTGGAAAAAGAAACAGATATCTTCTATTGTCAATATTGCATTTTCTTTAGAATAGTTCCTAGACTGGCATGGCTAGTGAAGCTCGGGTTGTATATTGGACTCTGTATGCACCAGATTATACATCTGGAGAAATGTGCCATCTCCATCTATGGAATTGTGTTAACCAATAACTTCTCAAAATTAATTCCATGCCATTCTGGTGGCCCACCTAACTGGGTTGGTAAGTGCTTCTGTCCCTTTCTGTTTCCCGGACAAGTATAATTCAAACTTTGTGGGAATTCTTGTACTTTTCTCCTCCCACCACCTGCTCAAAAGTTCAATTGTGGGCTCAGCATATGAGGCCATCCACCATTGATAGAAGTGGTATGCTAGACTTCCTGGAGAGTGACTAATTGACTGAAGGGGCCAGGTCTTGCACCTTGGTGATTAAATATCACTTCTTCCTTCCTCCTTATTTTTACAAAATAGGGATCTCATGCACATTTTCAAAGTTAGTAAAGCAACAAATTGGTTTGCCTTAGCATTAGACTGTGCTGTCCACCCACTTTATACTCTGGACGAGGACTCTGTATTTGAGAATAAAGTTGCAAATGGAAGGCCTTGGAAGGTGTTCCCTGACACTTTGATATTTTTGTTATTATGTTGCAAGAATAATATGTCGGACAGGCTCTGTTACAATACCATAGTGAACTGATTCTTCTTCATAGTCTGTCATCCTTTTATCTCTTTTGTATTGATCTTCTGTATACTGTTTCCACCTTCTCTTTATTTTCTCAGTCTGCTTCCCTGTTCATTTAGCATTCCTAGTCTAGGTTTACATTTCCCTTTGATTTCTTGGATCTTCTGGAAGGGATCTCTTGCTTTCCCTTTTTGTTATTTTTCTCTATTTCTTTGCACTGGTTGTTGTAGTA